TTCAGTTCAATAAACACAGAAAAACCCGTTTGAAAAAAATCTAAAATTGATTACTATGTAATTTAAAAAACAATAAATATATCAACAAACTAGAAATGGAACTTAAATCACTTTTATGAAAAACTGAAAATGAGCATCATACTTTGTAGTTAATGATTGTTTTCCCCCAATATCCAGAAGTGAAACGAGTGTCTACTCTCATTACATCTGTTCAACATGGTAAGGCAGCAGCCAGTGCACTAAGGCAAGAAAAAGAAATAGAATGCATCCAGATTGGGAAAAAAGTAAAATTGTCTTTTTTTTTGCAGCCAACATACATAAAATCGGGTGGGATGTAGAAAAAAAATTCTAGATATACTAAGTTTAGTAAGGTTGCTAGATAAAAATTTACATCTAAAAACAATTGTATTTATATATACAAGCAATGAACAGTTGGAAATTGAAATTAAATTCCATTTACAATAGTATCAAAAATATGAAGTACTTATGGTTAAATGTGGCAAAAAGTGTGTAAGACAAAAAAAAAAAAAAAAAAAAAAAAAAAAAGCAGGGGTCCTAAAACCAATTCCCTGAATATACCAAGGGACAACTGTATTTCTATTTAATGTAAATATACATTTATATTATATGTAATATAAATAAATATATATGTACAATAACCTAATTTTAAAATGGCAAAGGATGAAAATAAAAATGTCTTTAAAGCCCCTACCTCTCACCCTGTACAAAAATCAACTCACAAATGGATCAAAGATCTGAAACAATCAAACCACTAGAAGAAGACATAGGGGAAAATGCTCCAGGACACTGATCTGGGAAAAGATCTTATGATAAGACCTGAAAAACACAGGCAACTAAAGCAAAACAAACAAATAGGATTACATCAAATTAACTTCTGCACAGCAAATCATACAATCAACAGAGTGAAAAGATAGCCTGCAGAGTGAAAGAAAATATTTGCAAACTACTCGGCCCACAGGAGACTAATATCCAGAATATATAAGGACAAACATATCAAAAGCAAAAAATAAAAAATATGATTTAAAAATTAGCAAATGATATGAAGAGACATTTTTCAAAAAAAGACATACACCAGCCTGGGCAACACAATGAGAATCCATCTCTGCAAAAAATTTTTAAAAATTAGCCATTGTGGTGCATACCTACAGTCCTGTCTACTCGAAAGGTTGAGGCAGGTGGATTGATTGAGCCCAGGAGTTTGAGGCTGCAGTAAGCTATAATTATGCCACTGCACTCCAGTGTAGGGACAGAGCCAGATACTGTCTCAAAAAAAAACAACAAACAAAAATGAAAAATGTTCCACATCACTAATCATCAAGGAAATACAAATAAAAACCACAATGAGGTATAATCTCAACCCAAATAGCACAGCAGCTATTATCAAAAAGACAAAAAATAACAAATACTGGTAAGGATGCAGAGAAAAAGGAACTCTTATATACTGTTGATAAAAACGTAAACTAATACAATCACTATGAAGAAAGTATGGAGGTTCCTCAAAAAACTACAAATAGAACTATCATATGATCCAGCAATTCCACTATAGGGAATTTATCCAAAGACAAGACAATCATATCAAAGAGACTCCATCTGCACCTCCGTGTTTATTGTAGCACTACTGACAATAGCCAAGATATGGAATCAACCTAGATGTCCAACAAAGGATGAATGGAAAAGAAAATGTGGTATATACCAGAGAACACTGTTTAGTCATGAAAAAAAAAATCCTGTCATTTGCAGCAACATGGATGAGACTGGGACATTAGGCTAAGTAAAACAGACCAGGGACAAAAAGTTAAATAAACACTGCATGTTCTCACTCATTGGTAGTGGGGAGGCAGGGACAGGGAGAGATTTGTTAAAGGATAAAAAATGACCACTAGATAGAAGGAATAAGTTCTAGTGTTCTATACCACAGTAAGATGGCTACAGTTAACAGTAATATGTAGTTTCAAATAGCTAGGAAGAGGATATTGAACATTCCCAACACAAAGAAATGATAAATGTCTGAGACAATGGATATGCTAATAACATCTGATCACTAACATTTGTGTATTAAAACATTACTATGTACCTATGAATATGTATAATATTTGTCAATTAAAAACTAAAAGAAAAAAGAAAAAACGTTCAAATGGCCAGTAAGCATAGAAACAAATGTTCATCATAAGTTACTAGGGAAATACAAATCAAAACCACCATATACCACTTCACATCTACTGAGTGCTATATTAAACCAAACAAGCCCAGACAATGTCAAGTATTGACAAGGATATAGAGAAATTAAAATCTTCATATATTGCTGGTAGAAAAAGGTTCAGTCTTTTTAGAAAATAGTTTGCTAGTTCCACAAAATGTTAAACACAGAGTTACTACATGACCTAGCCATTCTACTCTTAAGTATATATCCAAGAGACATGAAAACATGTCCACATAAAAACTTATACACAAGTAAGTGCTCCCAGCAAACTTTTCATTATAGCCAAAAAAAAGTGGAGACAACCCAAATGTCCATCAAGTGATAAATGGGTATATGAAATATGGCATACAAATACTGTGGATGAAAAAAATAAAAAAAAACAGGTGTGACTTTCTTTTTTTTGAGACAGAGTTTCCCTCTTGCCACCCAGGCTGGAGGGCAATGGCATGATCTCAGCTCACTGCAACTGCTGTCTCCAGGGTTCAAGTGATTCTCCTGCTTCAGCCTCCCAAGTAGCTGTGATTACAGGCACTCACCGCCACGTTCTGCTAAATTTTGTATTTTTAATAGAGACGAGGTTTCACCATGTTGGCCAGGCTGGTCTTGAACTCCTGACCTCAGGTGATCCATCCGCCTCAGCCTCCCAAAGTGCTGGGATTACAGGTGCAAGCTATCACACTCAGCCACTTTTTTAACTTAATCATAAACAATTACATGTCTTTACCTGGGAGGCTTCACAGGAGAAAACTGCCTCCCCACACCAGATTTGGTGTACACCCAGTGCATCGTAATCTCTAAAGCAAGCTGCAGTCAAGACTCAGGTATCCCTAAATGACCATGCTCTTTACCAGATTTACATTCCTAGCCCAGGTACCTTTCAGGTAAGTCTCTGTGGCCTTCAACTGAGGCCTATCCTTAGTCAACTCTGCAGGGGCCTCCTCAACAAAGGGAAAACACTGAAAACACTTTCCTCTACTCTAACTCAGTACCTTCTTCCACTCCTAGCCTTTGCACCTCGTCCCCCAACCCACCCTAGATCTATAAAACAGCAGGAACCTTTTGCTGGGGTTCCCGCAGCATTGCGAAACCCCCACCTCTGTGCTGATCCACTTGACAGGAGGGAGCCTGCACTTTCTCAGGTTTAACTTCTTGCTTATCCTAATTCAGTAAGTGACTAAAGTCACTCAGCTCTGTGTTCCCAGATCAGCTACTGACACAGACAAAGGAATATTTTTCAGCCATAAAAAGGAATCAAGGTTCATCCATGCTACAACATGGATGAAGCTTAAAAACTTTATGCTAAATGAAAGAAATTGGTCACAGAAGACAACACACTGTGCAACTCCATTTACATAAAATGTACAGAATAGGCAGAAAGTAAATTAGTAACTAAGGGGAGGGAAGAATGAGTGGAGACTGCTAATGAGTACTTTCAAGAATGATGAAAGGCCAGGCAGGTGGCTCACACCTGTAATCCCAGCAATGAGGCTGAGGTGGGAGGGCCACTTGAGGTCAGGAGGTTGAGACCAGCCTGGACAACATGGGGAAACCCTGCCTCTACTGAAAACAAAAATTAGCCGGGCATGGTGGCATACATCTATAATCAACTCACAAATGGATCAAAGACCTGAAACAATCAGGAGGCTGAGGCAGGACAATCGCTTGAACCTGGGAGGCAGAGGTTGCAGTGAGCCAAGACTGTGCCACTGCACTCCAGCCTGGGTGAAAGAGTGATTCCATCTCAAAAAAAAAAAAGAGTGATGAAAATATTCCAAAACTAGATTGCAGTGATGGTTGCACATCTCTGTAAATATAACAAAAACTATTAAATTTTACACTTTAAATGGGTGGAATTTATAGCATGGGAATTATTAAATTTTATACTTTAAATGGGTGGAATTTATAGCATGGGAATTATTTCTCAGTAAAAATATGATATGAATACACAATGTCAGTGTATCATATTTAGAGCACTATTGCTTGGTAAGGGAGTTTGTAAAATAATCCTTAAGGAATTAGATACTAAAGGACTCACAGTAGTAGACTGACATGGTGACATTTTTTTAAAGAAAAAAAAATCTGTTGACAATGATAAAAATGCCTTAGAGAACAGTCAGACTCAAGGTGGAGAGATCAGATGAGAGACCTACAATGGTCCATTCAGAAAAATTTTAACAAGAAGAGGACTTGAGCCAAGACAGGTAAGAAACAGGAAAGGGCTAAGATCCTGTCCTTAGAGTGGAATGCTATCTATAGAAGCTTTCCATAAAAGGAAAGCTTTCTATAGAAGCCAACTATTAACATACTGATGTGTAGATATCCTTATTACATGGGCTCCCAAACAGGGAACTACAGAAAGTCATCAAGTCCAAGAGAGCAGAGTGGTTGAAAGCTCTTAATAACTGACCCATTAAAATAGTTAGCAGTTGTTTTAATCTATGACTTAACTAATGGAAAATCTGTCTTCAAGAATATGGCATTATAATACCAATATATTCTCAAGTGTATCAGAGAATAGTAGTATGAATTTCATCTGTGAGTATTAATGATAATGAAAAAATTCACCCTAAAATATTTTATCCCTAGAACAAGTTTATTTCAAATGTCTTATAAACTAAAAGTAAGCATACTATATATGTAGTTTTATAATAAATATTTATTTCCTATTAAAACACTCAGAAGAAAACACATTTGGTATTGCCTTAAATTTTTTCAGAAACAATTCTTTCTCATTATAAAATATGTATTAAAAGGCAAATGCATTCATAAATTATCTCACCTTTGGTTTTTAGATAAACCACAAAGAAATGACTACAGCATAAGTTCCAGTTTGGGCAGATACCTGAATTAAAAAAAAAAACAAAAACAGAAAAAGACATGGTCAATATGGTTGAATCTGAGTAGGAAATTTAATTCTTTTAATAAAACCCTAACTTGATCATTTACCTACTAAATTTTCATGTTCAAGCTGTTCTTTAGGTATCTGTAGAATGTCAAGAATTAAGAAATTCTCCTGGATTTTCTATTGCCTTTGATTAATGTTGATATTAAAAGTATATCAAAACAGGCTGGGCATGGTGGCTCACACCTGTAATCCCAGTACTTCGGAAGGCCAAGGCGGACAGATAACCTGAGGTCAGGAGTTCAAGAGCAGCCTGGCCAACGTGGCAAAACCCTATCTCTACTAAAAATACAAAAATATTAGCCAGATGTGGTGGCACACGCCTGTAGTCCCAGCTACTCAGGAGGCTGAGGCAGGAGAATTGCTTGAACCCTCAGTTGCAGTGAGCCGAGGTCACACCACTGCACTCCAACAGGGGCAACAGAACGAGACTCTGTCTCGAAGAAAAAGAAAAAAAGTATATCAAAACATATACTACATTAACAGGAGAAAAATATCAATTTCCTTCATCAACTCAATAATTCAAATGAAAGTATTTTCTTAAGTTTACACTCGCTATATCTTGATTACCCATCCTCACAGAAAATACAGAATTTAAAAATCTGGAAATGTAAAAGTAAACAGATAGCACATGTTTATAATAACCTAAGCAAATAAGTAAATTAAATAAAACCAGTGTTTAAGTATAAAAATGTTCTCTACATTGGCAAAGAAAACCAAATTAAAATGAGATACCATCTTTGATCAATGAAATTAATATTGTTTTTAAAATAAGATTATAGTCAGTAACGCTCTTCCAGTTCTTCTCCTTACCAGACTCATGGTAAGACTGGACCTCATTGCCCTCTTTCAACTTAAGTGTGGGCACACATTTGCTTTAGCCACTGAAATGTACATAGACATGATGTTAGACATTTCGAGGTGTAAGCTTTAGGACCAAGTACACAACTTGCAGACCTCCCAGCTACTGCAATCATTATGGAATTCACTAAATGGCTCTGAAGAGAAAAGAAACCCTGCTGATATGTATTAGACATGTAACACGAGCAAGAAATAAACTTTGTTGTATTATGCGACTGAGATTTTTAAGATTGTTACTACAGCACAATCTAGGTTATACTGACAGCTACAAGTGATGATGTAATATACTGATATATAATAATGTAACATAATAGGCATTTTTGCACTCTGTTCATAGAAATTTAAATTGGTAAATTTGTTTGTTGGTTTTTTTTTGAGACAGGATCTTGCTTCATCACCTAGGCTGGAGTACAGTGGCGCGATCACAGCTCACTGCAGCCTAGACGTCCCAGGCTCAAGCAAAATCCTTCCACCTCAGCATCCTGAGTAGCTGGGATGGAAGAAGCTGAGTACTCAGGTGCCCACCACCACCAAGCCCTGCTAATTTTTCTATTTTTTATAGAGATGGGGTTTTGCCATGTTGCCCACCCAAACTGATCTCAAACTCCTGGGCTCAATCTACACACCTCAGCTTCCCAAAGTGCTGGGATTAAAGGTGTGATCCACATGCCCAGCAATTGTTAAAATCTTTCTGGAAAGCAATTTTGCAATGTGCAACAAGAACCTTAAAAAGTTCAAATCCTGGCTGGGCGCAGTGGCTGACACCGGTAATCCCTGTACTTTGGAAGGCCAGGGTGGGTAGATCACGAGGTCAGGAGTTCAAGACCTGTAGTCCCAGCTACTCGGGAGGCTGAGGAAAGGGAATCGCTTGAACCAGGGAGGTGGAGTTTGCAGTGAGCCAAGACTGCACCACTGCACTCTCCAGCCTGGCGACAGAGCGAGACTCCATCTCGAAAAAAGAGCTAGAAGCAAACTAAAGGTACATATGATTTGCTAAATAAGTTAGAATATTAAGCAATCATTAAAACTGCTTACAAAAGATGCTTGATGTCTAACAGAGGAAACTGTGTAAAGGGCATACACAGGAAGTCTCTGCAGTGTCTGCTCAATTTTTTCATGTATATGATTCTAGAACAGGTAAAACTAATCTCCAGTGACAGAAAGCAGGTGAGTTAGTGCAGGAACCAAAGGTTGTATCAAAGAATTGACTGCAAGGGGCCTAAGAGAAGCGTTTAAGAATGATTAAAATGTTCTATATCTTGATTATGGCAGTTGTCAACAGGATATACACATTAATCAAAACCCCTCAAACTGTACTGCACATAAATCATTTTACTAAAGTGTATTTTAAAAGTAAAATGAAAATGCTTAATGACAGGAAAATGCTGATCTACTGGGTAATTTGAATTATATAACACATAAATTTGCATAGAAAAGACCAGAAATACATACAATCATACAATGTGAATAGTACTTTGTTTTGCATAAATATTATATAGGTAATTTTAATTTTTCCTTAAGTTACATACTTTCAAAATACTCTTAAGTATGTATTTTTACGCTTGTTTGGTGGTATTTTAATGAGAACCAGAGCTTACGCCTAGAATAAGCTTGAGGTTTTAATAATTTATTCATTCAATATTTATTATATGCCTCCATGTACAAACAGCATTCTAAGTGGCAGAGGGATACCTCCAAACTTGGGTATGTTTCTCCAAGGTTCCGCTAGATGGGCCTTTCATGTGATCACTGTTGCCCCTGAATATGGAAGCATCAACAATCATCTGTAAACCACATCTTTTTATAATCTTTACACTGGCAAATGACAGGTAAGTGGTGACTATAAAAACTGTTTGCATTAATAATTATTTGTTTACCTAATCTTCCTGAAAATAAGCTTACACTTTCTACAGTGTGTAATGTGTAATATATAACATATATTTTGAATGTATTACAAGGTATGAATGTGTTTATAAAAATCTATATTGGTAACTATTCATTTAAAAATGTTATGTTTTGAGCATTTATTTACTTAAAAAATTAAAAATTTACTTAAAAATTTTACAGTTGTAAAAACTTTTTAATTTTTTAAAACACTGCTTAAGTGTTTAAAACTCTAAAAATCTATAGAAAAATATGCAAATAGAAATTTTGGATGCATAGCATTAAGAAATTGTAATCACAAGTAAAAATATAGTGAGAAAATATTTGTTTTGTGTTCAGTAGTGAGTATAGCAATTCAAGATACTGGGGACAAGGGATTAGGACTGTATACACTAACTTCTCATGACAGAAATATCTGACATAACTACTCCATTATAGGGAATACACATGAAGCAAAAGAGAAAGAACATATATAGAAGAATGTAATTCAGATTTTTTTTTTTTTGAGACAGAGTCTCGCACTGCTGCCAGGCTGATGTGCAGTGGCACAATCACAGCTCACTACAATCTCTGCCTTCTAGGTTCAAGCCATTCTTCTGCCTCAGCCTCTCAAATAGTTGGGATTACAAATGCATGCCACCACGCCCAGCTAATATTTGTATTTTTAGTAGAGACAGGGTTTCATCATGTTGGCCAGGATGGTCTCAATCTCCTGACCTCATGATTCACCAACCACTTTGGCCGTGGTGGGATTACAGGCGTGAGCCACCGTGTCCGGCCCCAGAAATGATTTTAAACCAGTGATCACTGAAATTAAATCACTATGTTTAATTACAACTATACAATATGTTGCTTTCTCAAGTTTGACATTTACACTTACATGTATTCAAAAAGCGTAAATTAACTTCATAATTTACAATAAAATACAAGTGAAATGCATTATTTATACTAATAACCATTAAGAAGTACTAAAATAATATGTACTAATCAGGTTACAGCTAGTAAAAAGTCTCAGACATTAAGAATATAACACAGAGGCTGGGCGCAGTGGCTCAAGCCTGTAATCCCAGCACTTTGGGAGGCCGAAGCAGGTGGATCATGAGGTCAAGAGATCGAGATCATCCTGGTCAACAAACCCCGTCTCTACTAAAAATACAAAAAATTAGCTGGGTGTGGTGGTGCGTGCCTCTAATCCCAGCTACTCAGGAAGCTAAGGCAGGAGAATTGCCTGAACCCAGGAGGCGGAGGTTGCGGTGAGCCGAGATCGCGGCGCCACTGCACTCCAGCCAGGGTAACAAGAGGGAAACTCCACCTCAAAAAAAAAAAAGAATACAACACAGAAAATATTTGTATGTGAATCAGAGTACAGATAGTAAAGACAAATAGTCTCAGACACCAGGGAATTTTCACAGCACTTAGAAAGGTAGCACAAAATCTGAAACACAAAATTGCTAAGAATGCAGGAATGCAAATGGAGAGTTCTTAGAAAGTATTAGCTTTTCAACCCTTAAAAAATACAACTTTTGTGAGTAGTCAATGAAAATACAGACAGATGGGAAAACACCATCACCAAGTTGGTCTTGGTTTTCTAAATTCTAGAAATCGTAAGTGCAGTAACAAGTACCCTAATCAAGTAAATCAGTGGTCAAACTGAAGCCTGAGAGCCAAATCCAGCCCAGGGCCTGTTTTTGTCTGATCTATGAGCTAAGAATGGTTTTTACATATTTAAAGGGCCATAAACAAAGAAGAATATGCAACAGAGGCAGTATGTTGCCACAAAGTTTAAAAGTTTAAAGGGGATCTTTAGAGAGGTCTGCTGACTTCTGAATAAATAATTTATAAATCAATAAAACAGGTCTTAGTAGTGTCTCTTATCCAGAGATCTGTAGTGTGCCATGGCATCACAGTACAGTAGAACTGGAAAGAGGCACTAAGACCATCTTTCCTTCCCAGGATATTGCAAAGGTGCTGACTATGGCCCATAGGTTTCTGTCTTCCAGGTTTACTGTATCCTGGGTCAAAAGCACGTTATATCTCACAACATTGGCTCCCTTTTCCTTTGGTGAAGCAATCTGGGAATTTTAAAAAAAGATGTACAGTAGAGTAAATGCACTCTCCTCCAACTCTCCACTGAGCCTTTGCTACACACAACTAATCAGCTAAAAGTGAGGTGCTGATAACCTTCACATTTGACTAACTCAGCATCAAAGATCACTTCCTATTCTCCCAGCTTCATTTCCCTCTACTCTACTTACATATTCTTTAAACTAAGTAAATCAATCTACTAGCATTCCTGAAAAAGCACCTGTTTTGTCCCATGGACCTTGGTCTATGTGGTTTCTCTCCTATGGACATGACCTCCTTTTTCTTCCCATCCAAATTCTTTCCATCCTTCATGGCCCAATTTGACATCCATGATACCTTCAGGAAGCTTATAACCAAAAGGAAACATAGCTCAGGTACATACAAAAAAGTTTTTAAAATCTTAAAAGTTGTAATAAATAAAATATTATAAAATTCCAAGGAGTAAAATGTCACCTGTGGGGAAAATGTTTAGGTAACACTTTTGGAAAGTCTTTGAGTAAGATATGAAAAAGAGTAGACAAAAGAAAAAGGGATATTCCAGGCAGTGGAAATGAGCAAAGTTACATGAAAAGTAAAGAGTTCCTCTTCAAAGTTTCCATTTTTGTTAAAGAATAAATAATATTCGTTAGAAATTATAGTCTCTTTTAAAAACTAGCTTCCTTCAAGCTTCCTTGCTTTTTGCTGTTAACTCTTTGTTAAACCCTATGTAGCTGTTAAACATAGTAAAAGAATAAGTGCATTATATGTTCTTGTACTTTAATCAAGTTATTTGTTTTTGCCTATAGCTGCTCAGACATGTCTAAACACACCCAGGCATTTCTCAGCTTACAGCCTATGCCTCTTCCTTATTTGGAAATATTATTCTCCTAGTTTCCCGTAAAATACCCCCTTCCTTTTTTTGTTCTCCAACACGCATTTATCTATTTAGGAAAGTTTTAAGTTTTTAGACAATTGAGATCAGTCTAGATTGTGCGGTCCAGTTCCAGCCAATGGAGACAGGACACAGCAATAAGGACCCAATGCACCAGGGATAAAAGCTTCTGCTTTTCTTTATTCAATGTGCTCTCATGACAATTGGGCTTCTGAGAAGCACCCTTTCTACAGAAAGTAAAATTGCCTTGCTGAGAAAATTCATATTTGAGTGCTATTTCCTTTGGGGCACTGAAAATTTTACTTCTGTTACAAAAGGGATAACTTGTTATAGTAGCAATTTTCATCTTTTTGTTTTCCTAGATTTGCCTCTAACCAAGAGATGACACAGAGAATGCCCTTAATTTCTTACCTATAATTTTGAATGTTACCCAAAACCGTAGATTTAATATGCTAATCAGGTAATCAATATTCAAAGTAGACAGTTTTCAGCATACATTTTCAGGTAAGTTTTGTGAACATAAAATTTCAACTCATCGGGCTGGGTGTGGTGGCTGATGCCTGTAATCCCAGTAATTTGGGAGGCCGAGGCAGGTGTATCACAAAATCAGGAGATACAGACCATCCTGGCCAACATGGTAAAACCCTGTCTCTACTAAAATACAAAATATTAGCCGGGCATCATGGCATGCACCTATAGTCCCAGCTACTCAGGAGGCTGAGGTAGGGGAATGGCTTGAACCAGGGAGGCAGAGGTTGAAGTGAGCCAAGATCATGCCATTGTACTCCAGTCTGGCAGCAAAATCAAATATAAATTATGTGGCTTTAAGGCTGAATTCTGTTATTTTCATGCCATTAATCAAACCAAAAGGACTGAAAGTAAAAACTTCATTATTTTAGTTTCCTTTTTACTAAGTAATTTTACTCTATGGATTGCAACCTTTCACATTCTGGTTCACTCCAAACCTTGAGCCTAGTAGATGCTATCTAAATACCTGTTGAATTAATAATATTGGAACACGATATACATTTCACTGAAAATATTCTTTCTTTAGGTATGCAGTATAATAGAAAGTAGAGAAAAGATAAGGATCATTAATTGAAAGTGTTGTAAAAGTGAAGCCATCAAAAAACTTAAACAATTACTTCAAAACCATCTTTGAAGCAAATAATCTATTCATATGTAACTCAGATCTTTACTGTAGCCTTTGTTGAAAACACTACACACATACCACCACCACTACCGTGACGTTTTTTTCTAAATACAGCTTGAGGGAGGAAACCATATAAATGATTAACAGAAGTCAAGCACGGTCCTGGCAATTTAGGAAGCTGAAGCAGGTGGATCACTTGAGGTCTGGAGTTCAAGACCAGCCCGGCCAACAAGGTGAAACACTGTCTCTACTAAAACTACAAAAATTAGCCAGGTGTAGTGACACACGCCTGTAATCCCAGCTTCTCGGGAGGCTGAGACCGGAGAATCACTTGAACAAGGTAGAGATTGCAGTGATCCAAGATCGTGCTATTGCACTCCAGCCTGGGAGACAGTGAGACTCTGTCCTCAAAAAATAAATAAATAAAAATAAAACAAAACAGAAAAGAAAACTGCCACTTATTCATCTTTATACTTCATATAATTCCTAGCACAGAGTGGGTACTTTGAAATCATTCATTGAGTTGAACAGTCATAGAGAAAATGTTTTCTCTGCTCTCCATGACTTCACTATATTTCAAAGGTATTAGGTATCAACTCTGGCAATAAAAGTAGAACTTACACTACTATGAAAGCTTGACCTATTTCAAGAGTTCTCTGATTATGAGAAGAGATATCCATAGATGTGTTCCCTAATTACACAAGTAGAAGAAGATACATTGCTCTACTGTTGTTGATTTTGCTATATTTAGTTGGCTCTGAATTGAATTATTCAAGCATGTACAAATATAACCTTAACGGGGTCCACATACTTGCTCCTAACAATGTGGATACAAAAGCTGCCATTCAGATACAAGATGACAGGCAATAGGAATCTGACAGGCCAGTAATTTACTGCATTTTCTGCACATTGGAATTTGTAGGCCTCCATAGCCATTAAGCAAAATTAGTTTCATGATGTCAGCCAAAAAGCCTAATGGGCAACAGTTTTATGTCATTAAAAAAAACTACTGTCCTCAATCTGTCTGAATCTGTGTTTGCTCATTAGAAGGCTCTCAGTGAATCAGAAATGAGGGTTTAATTGCACTCTTGCTCTATGAATGTTTAGTATAGCCCTGAACTATAAAAAATTCCTATTCTCCCTTTCCCTGTATCTAAAATAGTTTAGATATAGTTGAAGAACCTAAGTATCAGACAGGCTAGCAGTTCTCTACTAATATGGTTTGGATCCAAGTCCCCACCCAAATCTCATGTCAAATTATTATCCCCAATGTTGGAAATGGGGCCTGGTGGGAGGTGATTGCATCATGAGGGCAGTTTCTAATGATTTAGCACTAACCCCTAGTGCTGTTCTCATGATAGAGTTCTCACAAGATCTGGTTGTTTACAAGTGTGTAGCACTTTCTTCCTCTCTCTTTATGCCTGCTTCCCCCTTGGCCTTCTGCCATGATTCTAAGTTTCCTGAGGCCTCCCCAGAAGTCTAGCAGATGGCCAGCATTATGCTTCCTATACAACTTGAGGAACCATGGCCAATTAAACCTCTTTTCTTTATAAATTTCCCAGTCCCAGGTATTTCTTTATAGCAGTGCAAGAATGAACTGACACATCTATCAAAAATGGAGCAATTTCAAAAACATAAATGTGATTTTAATATGTATTTATCCAATTTAAAAAGCAAGTGTCAGAGAAAAGCTTCATCTTCTCTTGCTCCTAATTACTGATCTCTGAATCCATGATGCTCTCTTATGCCCCTATCCGTTCGAAATTTTTATTTTTCCCCTCTGCTTGTTTAGAATCTCCTCCTTAAACCTATCTGGCAAATTTCTACTCATAGAAGTCCTCCCCGGTTTTTCAAAAAAAGATGTATGCAATCTTCCCTTATGCATGTTTTATATACTTACATCAAGTACCTCTCAAACTATAACTGTGTCTCTTACAGTTAGAGAACAGTAAGCTCTCTATGGGCAATGACTGAACACCTCTTGGCGAAGCTATTATTGAGCTGGTACACACCAACAGAGCCTAAAGCGTTGTACTTAAGTACTAAAATACTTCTGTAAGGCAGTCTGGTGAAGTGTCAATGCCTCAAACTCCACCAGTCCTAAGGTGCCTGCTGATGGCCCAATCTACCCACCACCACTACAACCCAGCAGGTAAAGCAACAAAGCCTGACACAGCATAAAGGATGAAGTAAGTGGTTCTTCAAGACCCTGATCCAGTGCTACAGCCATGTTAACTGGTTGGTGCCTATTTTGTACTTACTGGTAAATGCTTTAAATATCACTCCTACCTCTTCATAGCCAAAGCACAGGACACTGCCTAGCTTATCAGGTTTTAATTTTTTGGCAAGATAATGAATGAAGACATACCAGGTCTATCAATCACCAAGGGTCAATGCGCATGCTGTCAGAACTATGCAGATAATGATCAGTGATCAAACTGGCAAGAAAAATCCAGATGCTAAAGCACTAGAGAGAAAAAAATGATCAAGTCTGTCTAGTCTCTGCGTTTGCCTTCAGGACTTGATAAAATAAATGCTTATCTTGACCATGTGCAAAAAAAAAAAAAATCTTCCATATAATACTTTATAGAGAATATAATTCAAATGTTTTTAAATAAAGTTTAAAAGCAAAGTTTCTATAAAATAAGTCTCCATAACATACCACAGTGATCACTAAACTCTAATCAGTGTCTTAGATAGGAACACAAATATCACTAAAGGAAGAACACAGTGATTAATTCAAATGGATAGGAAAAGGCAAGAATGAGAAGAGTCTGTTAATTACAAATGGCATGTCTAATTACAGATTTTGCTAGGGGATTCAGATACTTCTAATTAGTTTTACTTGGTATATTAATTATAAATAGAATACCATGAGAGAATTTTCTAATTACAGAAATGTACCTAGAATGTAAAATCAAAGTTTCTAAGTTATCTTTATAACTTAATAATTAAATGTTCAATAATGTATAATAATAATTTTAAAAGTCATCAATAAAATATGTCACACATATGCACACGAATGTTCACTGCAGCACTGTTTACAATACCAAAGACCTGGAACCAACCCAAATGCCCATCAATGATAAACTGGACAGGGAAAATGTGGCACATATATACCATGGAATATTATGCAGCCATCAAAAACGATGAGTTCATGTCTTTGCAGGGACATGGATGAACCTGGAGACCATCATTCTCAGCAAACTGACACAAGAACAGAAAATGAAATACCACATGTTCTCACTCATAGGTGGGTATTGAACAATGAGAACACATGGACACAGGGAGGGGAGCACTACACACTGGGGTCTGTTGGGGAGAATAGGGGAGGGACAGTGGGGGGTGGGGAGCTGAAGAGAGATAGCATGGGGAGAAATGCCAGATATAGGTGAAGGGGAGGAAGGCAGCAAATCACACTGCCACGTGTGTACCTATGCAACTATCTTGCATGTTCTTCACATGTACCCCAAAACCTAAAATGCAATTAAAAAAAAAAAAAAAAAAACATATATATATATGTGTGTGTGTGTGTGTCACATTAAAGTCGAGTTACTCAGAATATTGCTATGGTGGTGACAGAGTCTTTATAAAATCCATATGGGAGCAAGTATGTAGCTCAAAGAGGGACAAATATGTAGCTTCAATAATAAGAATTTTGAATTTATAAATGGTGATAGAACAATCTTTTTAGGCTATTTCCTTTCTGATAGAAAAATTGTCTTTCATTCAACCTGTAGGAGTTTCAGAAATTAAAACATTAAAAATAAAGAGATCAAGACCATCCTGGCCAACATGGTGAAACCCCATCTCCACTAAAAATACAAAAATTAGCTGGGCATGGTGGCGCATGCTTGTAGTACCAGCTACTCAGGAGTCTGAGGCAGGAGAATCACTTGAACCCAGGAGGCAGAAGTTGCAGTGAGCTGAGATGGTGCCACTGCACTCCAGCCTGGCGACAGAGCTAGACTTTGTCTCAAAAAAAAAAAAAAAAGTTAAAAATAAAGATGGAAGGAATAAATCGTAGCAAGAGAAGCTTATCTAATTTCAACACTATCTCATTAAGATCAATCTTTAAACCAAAAAAACAAAACCCTGCTGTGTTATATACTAATGAAAAATTCTACAAGGTGACAAAATCTCAAATAAGCATAATGTGTTTACTAAGGACAAATTAAGGAAAACCATTCTGATTTTTTAGTATTTATATTAAAGTAAAAATTTAGAAAAGAGGAGAAAAATTAAAGACCATGGTGTATTTTAACTTTAAGAAAAGCTTTTAAAGTTTCATTAATCTTAAAACAATCATGTAAATTATCTTGGTTATTAGCTCTAACATGAATTTTAGCAGAAAATACATACAAAGAAAATGTAAGTAATAATTACAGTATCTACCATTTATTGAACACCTATATACTATCTCAGGCAGAATGCAAAGTGCTTTACCTAAATTGTTAATTTTCACAACCATCTAACTTGGCAGATACTATCATCCCTAACTTACTGATGATGAATTAATATTAAAAATAACTTTGCCACAGTCAGCTAGTAAGTGGCAAAGATTCAAACCTATAGTTGATAACCTAACAGCCTCTGGGCTGGCCACTACACCCCACTAACTGACCAGATGGCCTCAATGTAGTTAAAGTAAGCCAGTGTAGCACTGAAGTTCCATGGTGTCCTAGCTGCTGTAGATGTCTAAGTTAATGCTTCTGTCTACTATCCCAATGACTGTGACTATCTGAATATCTAAGGAAAACAATATAATTTAGTAATTATACTTCTGACCCTGATTTGGGAAATCAAGAATGTGGTCAGTTGGCTTAAGAGCTATCACAAAATTCTATTTCCACTAAACTCACTTTGATCCAAATGATCAAAAAATGATTAAACACTTAGATACAGAAGTAAAAGGATTCAATCATGTCCAATATAAGTTAAAAACAAATGTAATAATAAAAATAAATGAGTTTAACAGAATGTATTAAAAAAAAACCTTCTCCAACTTTCATGAACACATATAACAAAAAAGAAAATGGACAGTTCACTGACAAAAGTCAGACAACTTGAAGCTCTCCTAAATAAATGAGCATGAATAAAAAATTACCACATACTTAACAAAGGCACAGAACAAATATTTTAAAAATGAGTTAATGACTTGGCTAAATGAAGAGTAAAAAGTGAAAATGGGGAAAACAAGGAAATTTATGAGAAGAGTTGACCTTTCTCCAAGTTCCTTCTCACATAAATACTACCTGCTCTACCTATAATCCCAGCACTTTGGGAGCCCAAGACGAGCAGATTGCCTGAGGTCAGGAGTTTGGGACCAGCCTGGTAAACATGGCGAAACCCCATCTCTACTAAAAATACAAAAATTAACTGGGCGTGGTGGCAGGTGCCTGTCATCCCAGCTACTTGGGAGGCTGAGACAGGAGATTCGCTTGGCCCCAGGAGGCAGAGGTTGCAGTGAGCTGAGACTGTGCCATTGCCCTCCAGCCTGAGAAGAGCGAAACTCCATCTCAAAAAAGTAAAAAAATAATAATTAATTAATTAATACCTGCTCTATATTTCCCAGGAAGTTGATGGGGGGGGGGGCGGAAGAGTACCTGCTCTTGAGGTTCTTTACTAAAACAGTCCTTCAGAATATACCTACCCGGGCAGAACTCTCCTCCTCATATTGCGGCCAAAGAAATATCACCTCTCTCCTAAGAGAAAGTCTGACATCCAAAATAACAGCCTCTCTTGTCCTAAACAGCCTCTTTCTGGAAACGTTTTCAATCCCTCTATATCCCATAGCGTATTTTGAAGACATACTTTTCTGGTTTTCTTTTTTTTACTCCCCACCCCCCCGAGACGGAGTTTCGCACTTGTTACCCAGGCTGGAGTGCAATGGCGCGATCTTGGCTCACAGCAACCTCCGCCTCCTGGGTTCAGGCAATTCTCCTGCCTCGGCCTCCTGAGTAGCTGGGATTGCAGGCACGCACCACCATGCCCAGCTAATTTTTTGTATATTTTTTAGTAGAGTCGGGGTTTCACCATGTTGACCAGGATGGTCTCGATCTCTTGACCTTGTGATCCACCCGCCTCGGCCTCCCAAAGTGCTGGGATTACAGGCTTGAGCCACCGCGCCCGGCCACTTTTCTGGTTTTCTAAATTGAATATTATTTATTATTTAATAAGCATAATGAAAAATTTAAAGAGTGATTTATGATATACATAAATTCTGAAACAATAAGGATATTTTATAATGCAAATATAATTGTCATTTTAAAAACACAGGCATCCTTCACAAAGATGGTTCCATTTGAAAATAAATTTTTAATAAATTTTTACATATTTTCTACTTTTTTATTTGAAAGAAACCATGCCTTAAACAAAAGCTGTATTACAGTTACACATCTCTTAACAGGAATATATTCTGAGAAATTCATCATTAGGTGATTTAACAATTGTGCAAACATCATAGACTATATTCACAAACCTAGATCATATAGCCTACTACACCCAAAGGCTGCATGATGTAGCCTATGGCTCCTAAGCTACCAACCTATACAGCACGTTACTGTACTAAATACTGTAGGCAATAACAATGGTATTGGTGTATCTATACACAGATAAGATGCTGGGGGCAGTGGCTCATGCCTGTAATCCCAACACTTTGAAAGATGAAGGTGAGAGGATCACTTGAGCCCAGTTTGAGGCCAACCTGGGCAACATAAGGAGAACCCATCTCTATAAAAATGTCTTAAAACTTAGCTGGGCATGGTAGCACCTGCCTGTGGTTGCAGCTACTCAGGAGGCTGAGGTGGGAGGACTGCTTAAGCCAGAAAGGCGAAGTCTGCAGTGAGCAGTGATCCAGCCACTGCATTCCAGCCTGGGCAACAGAGTGAGACAATTACTCAGTTACAAATAAAACACAGCTAAGGTATATGTTCTTTTTTTTTTGGATGGAGTCTCACCCTGTTGCCCAGGCTGGAGTACAATGGCACCATCTCAGCTCACTACAACCTCTGCCTCACAGGTCCAAGACATTCTCCTGTCTCAGCCTCCCGAGTAGCTGGGACTACAGGCGCACAGCACCATAACTGGCTAATTTTTGTATTTTTAGCAGAGATGGGGTTTCACCATGTTGGCCAGCCTGGTCTCAATCTCCTGACCTCAGGTGATCTGCATACCTCGGCCTCCCAAAGTGCTGAAATCACAGGTGTGAGCCACTGCGTCCGGCCTACAATATTAAACTCTAATGTGGTCCTCTTTGATCAAAACTTTGTCACTCAGTGCATAACTGTATTTACAACTCTTACCTGGTTGGTGTCTGGAATAACTTCCGGAATCTTATCTACTGTATCATTTGCTGATTCAAAAATCATCATATTGCCCAACTCCTTTACTTTATCTAATAAAACTTACTAAGCTTGGACATGTAAAAACCACATGTGGTATATTTTCTTCTAGTGCAACAATGCCTATGAGACTGGGCAAGTCAAGACCAACAGTGATCTCTCCCCTTCATACCAAACAACTAGACTATCATTTAAATATGTTATTATTTTACAAATGAGTTTAAGAAGAAAACTATGCCTGACTATCATATTTCCTAAAACTATAAGTTTCTAAGGACTGTACTGACTTTGTATAGCAATATTATTTGTATATGTCCCATAAAAATAGAGCAAGCAAACATTTCGTAATTATTTCACTTGTGAAAAGGCCAACCATGTAACAGTTTTATGAAGCATCTCATTTCTTTAGCAAACTACTGAAAGATCATCTCCCTCTCTTTGACATATATGGACAGTAGAAGTCATAAGGAAAGGCTAAATGAAATGATCCTCAAAAATTCTTGCTTCTTACA